AAAGCTCCGGTATTTTGAAAATCGTGGGCCTTAGTAGTTTGGGATTGACTTTAACTTAATAAACAAAACACAACCATCTAAATATGGTACTTTTTATTAAAACAAGATCTGTTTTCAAACTTGGTGTTTTGAGGCAACCCTCAGTAACGTTTGCAATGCCATTTGGGATACAAAGCAAAAACGTATTTCATGTTTCATTGCTTGCAGAGGAGGAGGAAGCTGTGCCTCAGGAATTTGACTTCATCCCCCAAAACATCTGATGCTTATCTTGCATGTGAAATTTTGTGAAAATTACGTGGATATATACATGAAATATTTTTGATGTACCTGTTAAATTCTGTGTTAAAAACGTGTGTCATATGTGATTACTTTTTATTTATAAGCACATATGTAAAAGTGCAAACAGTGTTTTTTCATTTATTGCTTTTCAGGGGATATAATTTTCAATGCCCACTATCCTGACCTGCCACCAGATTTTATCTTTGGAGAGGATGCTGAATTTTTGCCCGATCCTTCTGCCTTGCATGTAAGTACTGTACTGTTTAAGAATTTTACACCATGCAAACTTGACTTTTTTGGAATAGCTTCAGCAACAGAAATTTTCCAACAATGCAAAATAAAGAAGAAACCTGCCTTTTATCTCACTTTTATGTGAGCATAAACACTTTGTTTCCTAATGTGATTTAAAGTTGAATCCATAAATGGCAGTGTGGTGTGTGTTAAAGCATTTTAATCAAGTCAGTATTACCTTTACAATAACTATTCAGAGTATGTGTTAAAATATGTCTATTTACTATCTGACTATCTTAAATGTTCTGTCTCAGAAAAAAAAATGATTGATAAATTGTCTTTAAAAAGCATTTATTTCTAAAAAAAAAAGCAGCATAATTTTGTGTAACGATGTCGATTTTAGTTTTCTTATGAGGAAGCATAGAACCAGGTAGTATGTTATGGCAGCCACTGCATATATGTATATAAATTATATATATTTATAATATGTATGCGTGTATATATATGAGATCTTTAATTTTATAGGCTGTGTGTAGCGATATATAGGAGTCACTGATAGAAACATGAACCTGGGAAGCCTCTTTTAATTGAACTTCTCTTTGCCAAGGGGAGGGGCTCTTTCCTCAGTCCTCTCTCGTGCAACCCCTTTTATGCTTTATGATCATGTCTCCAGAGCTCCCCAGAGTAAGTCAGAGGCTGTCGTGCCGTGTTACAGATGTCATGGTGGAGAAGTGTGAGGCAGTGGCCTCAGAATTGAACACGTCCTTTGATGTGTGACATGGCAAATGCTGGTTTTTGGTGTTACCTTTATTCATTTCATAGTAAGTTATATATAAAAATCTTTAAAGTATTAATTTGAATAATTATTTTGAGCAAACCTAATAGAATGTTTAAAAGGTGAATGTCAGATTTCTTTTCTTTCCCTGATTGTTTTCCTGTTAAGCTCACAAACTCCTTTGGGAAGGAGGTATGGTGCCAATGAGCATCTATTTCATTAGTAAAGGTTTTACTTCCTATGACAATTCTAAAATTGTTTTCACACTCCTTAATTTAGCAGTTCTATTTTCTTCTTTTGTTTCACATTCTCACAACCTCCTGAGAAAATGGTCATATTAGCAACCACTGTCTGCAGTTGATGTTAAAGGAAAAGGAAGACTTCTTAATGTACTGGAAAACTGAAATAAATAGCAAATGAGATATGAAATAAAGACAATTTTGGGCATCTTGTAGAAATGCTGTTCAGATGGAGAAGCTTGCTGAGAGAGGTATGGTGATGCATTTCTCATATGAAAAGGAGGCACTAGCAGTCATGATCCACAGGCAAACCTGCAAGAATAGAAAATCCTTATTTTTCTTTCTTTTTTTTTTTTACATTTTTTCTTTAATGATGCTACTTTGGGGAGTGTTGCTTTTCTGCCTAAGCACAAAGCAAACTTCATGTTCTCTTTGTTGGAAAGCGACTTGAAGAGCAATTTGCTGCTCAGGCCCGCTCAGGCTTGCCCAGGCCTGATTCCTCCTTAAGATCTGATTAAGGTGAGTGAGGGGTGGGTCTAGCTCGTTAGCAAGTGCTAGGGGAGGCTATATAAGAGCCTCCAGGAGGGCTACTTGGTCATTTGCTGCCCAGGCTTTTCCAGGCTTTTCCAGGCTTGCCCAGGCTTTCCCAGACCTGATTCTTCCTCAGATCCTATTAAGGTGAGTGAGGGGTGGGTCTAGCTCGTTAGCAAGTGCTAGGGGAGGCTATATAAGAGCCTCCAGGAGGGCTACTTGGTCATTTGCTGCCCAGGCTTTTCCAGGCTTTTCCAGGCTTGCCCAGGCCTGATTCCTCCTCAGATCTGATTAGGGTGAGTGAGGGGTGGGTCAGGCTCGTTAGCAAGTGCTAGAGGAGGCTATATAAGAGCCTCCAGGAGGGCTACTTGGTCATTTGCTGCCCAGGCTTGCCCAGGCTTTTCCAGGCTTGCCCAGGCTTGCCCAGGCTTTTCCAGGCTTGCCCAGGCTTTTCCAGGCTTGCCCAGGATTGCCCAGGCTTGCCCAGGCTTTTCCAGGCTTGCCCTGGCCTGATTCCTCCTCAGATCTGATTAAGGTGAGTGAGGGGTGGGTCAGGGTCGTTAGCAAGTGCTAGGGGAGGCTATATAAGAGCCTCCAGGAGAGCTACTTGGTCATTTGCTGCCCAGGCTTGTCCAGGCTTGCCCAGGCTTGCCCAGGCCTGATTCCTCCTCAGATCTGATTAAGGTGAGTGAGGGGTGGGTCAGGCTTGTTAGCAAGTGCTAGGGGAGGCTATATAAGAGCCTCCAGGAGGGCTACTTGGTCATTTGCTGCCCAGGCTTTTCCAGGCTTGCCCAGACTTTCCCAGGCCTGATTCTTCCTCAGATCCGATTAAGGTGAGTGAGGGGTGGGTCAGGCTCGTTAGCAAGTGCTAGGGGAGCCTATATAAGAGCCTCCTGGAGCGTGAGGGGTCGCTCACCCACCCCACAGGATCAGACTAACAGGGCTGTGGCACAGCAATTTCAAGGCATTTCAAGCAGGCAAGGCTGCAACCAGCTCCCATTTCTCGTAGGTGAGTGTGCTTTTTAAAGCTAGCAATGGTGTCCAGAAAAACAAAAGCTGTTATTGCTGTTAATACTAGGAGTGTGTGTGCTCAGACACTCCCCTCGAAGAAGAATGCAGTCACCCAGGTCTCTGGGTGTGCTGAGTGTCTGAGCCTGGCGTTGGTACCGGAGGATGGTGTAGGAGGTAGCTGTGTACGATGCGAGCAGGTGAGTGACTTGCTGTGCCTGGTAGCAGAACTTAAGGAAGAGGTAGAGAGATTAAGGTGCATTAGGGAGAGTGAAAAGGAAATTGACTGGTGGAGTCAAACCCTTTTGAAC